GTTGCACTTTTGACACCGGCACTCAGTTGTCAATTACATTTCGGTACGTTGTCAAAGTTTTTGCGCGTTCTTCTAACAAATTTCATGAAAAATGTAAAAATTAATATGAAAAAACAATAAAATAATGAAAATGTTTATCCTTGTCAAATGTGCTATTGGAAAATTGTGAAATTTCAAAGAAAATATGCGAAAAATAAAGGAAAAAAGTTATATTTTGTGGCTTGGTGTCCCCCCCAGTGTCAATTGTGTGAGTGTAAATGTTTGTGTCTTTGATTTGCCAAATTCCAATTGCGTCCAATTGGAAAATAAATTGAAATGTGATCGCAAGGATCGTGAAAGTGAAATATGGTCTAAAAAAAAATGAAAATAATGTTAAAAAATATAAAAAGTCTTTTTATTGTGGCTTCCAGTTTTGCTTTCCCCTACATCTCCCCCAACAAATCTCTCTTCGGCCTCTCATTTGTTTACATGGCTCCATAACCGTCCGTCTCTCGCGTTGTATTTTCGACACCGACAACGATATTTTGGCATTGTGTCAAAGTTTTCGCGCGTTTTTGTAACAATTTTCATGAAAAAATATAAAATTTAGTATAAAAAGGCTATTAAATAATGAAAATATGTATCCTTGTCAAATGTGCCATTGGAAAATTGTGAAATTTGAAAAAAATCTTTGAAAAATAAAGGAAAAAGTTGTATTTTGGGGCTTGTTGTCCCCCAGTGTCCGTGTGTGTGTAAATGTGTGTTTTCTTTGTCAATTAAATTATGGCCAATTGGAAAAATGAAAGGCGATCCCAAGGATCGTGGAAATGAAATCTTGCCTTAAGAAAAATGAAAATATGTAATGTTAAAATCTATAAAAATAAAAAGTGTTTTTGTTGTGGTTTCCAGTTTTGTTTTCCCCACATCTTCCTCAATGAAAATTTGTATCCTTGTCAAATTTGCCATTGGAAAATTGTAAAATTTCAATATCGGAAAAATAAAGGAAAAATGTTATATTTTGTGGTTTGTTGTCCCCCAGTGTCCAATGTGTGTTAATTAAATTATGGCCAATTAGAAAAAAATAAATGATGATCCAAAGGATCAATGAAGTAAAATATGTCCTAAAAAAATAAAATATATATAGTGTTAAAATCTATAAAAAGAAAAAGTGTTTATTGTGGTTTCCAGCTTATATCCAACATGGTTATCCCCACTCTCAGGCAATGAAAAGTATGTATTTTTTTCATATACGAGCTTCCTTGAAATAATTATTGTATTTTTCTTCTATTTACAGTAATCAAATATACTGCGGTAAGTGTAGTATAGATTTAAGGACCACTCAGCGGCAGCTTCACCACCGGAGTACCTCCGGCTCATTGTGTTCACACCGAAATTGGGAAAATATAGAGTGTCACGACTATATAAAAGTACGATAAGGGACTACATAGAAGGACGATATATCAATATGGGACAGTAACAATAAGGTATGTTTGTCTCTATCTATATGGTGGAGCTATAAATGACCATTGTGTCCAATGGGAAGACTAGAGTATCTGAACTATGTTTACCAGTATGTATGTTCCATTTACAAAATTAAGTTTACTTAACCAATCAGTGTCACAGTATGTCTGCGAGTTGCAAAAATAGTAGGTCAGTACAACTACAACAACTACTACTTCCTATTTTAACATTTTCGGCAATTTGGGTGTCAGAGAAGTAACTCATCTGCCAGATTTTGCATAGCCCCATTAAAAATATGTCTAATGATGTCAAATCGCATGAACTGGGTGGCCAGTTGGTTGGTATCGCCTCGACGGAAAATTACCAAGCAATAAAAACACATTTGCTCGAGTTTTGTGGCGTTTGGTATCGTCTGGTTGAAACCACATATATACAAGTTGGTTATCATATGACCATATTGTTCTGTATTGTCAGTGACCGGCGTTCCATTATCGTTTTCGAAGAAGTAAGGTCCAGTCCTCACCTTCGGACCAAAGGGCGCAACAAACAGTGACTTTTTCCGGGGAGCAATGACCGCTCTTCAATTACTTAGAAATTCTCAGAACCCCCATATACGATAATTTTGTTCATTTACTTACACGTATTTGGACGATTAACTAAAACCTCAATCTTCTCTTAAAGTACGTTATGGGCTGTGGCACAATTTTCTGCAAATCTATATTCCGTACATGGACGAGACTTCGCGGTAATTGCATCCTTTTAATCGATCAGAGGTCAAGAGCTCGTCTTTCTTACCCAGGCATATTTTATGAACAATGTTCAAATTGGGCATTTTACACACAGAAGTATTGGTTCACTTGACCCTAAATAAATAGTTGGACAGATTCCTTCTCCGTTTAAAATATGTGATGTTCGGCTTACTATAGTGGTCTTTAGAGCGACCAGGAAACCATACCATACCATCTCCTAAATATCATCTGATCATCACCGAAAATTTTCCCTGAACATAACCGGAAAATCATGTATAATTTCATAGCAATCCGCGCGACATTTTCGCGTTCTAGTGTGGTAATGGCAATACTAATTAAATCAAAATAGTACGTAGGTACCTGTAATTATCTTTATATAACTCCCACATTCGAGTACATACAACAATATAATTGGTATAAATTTAATGATCCACCACTCCTCTAATATATGCTATCCACTTCTGGGGCCTATACTCCTTCGGGACTAAATATATTCACCATAGAATACAAATTTTGTCATTTTTTTACACAAAAGTTTGGATCCATTTGACCCGCTAAATATATTCAATGACCTGACCCCTCTCTGCGTAAAATTTCGTGATGTTCGGGTCATAATTGGGACCTCAAGAGCGACCAGAAGCACAGACAAAGGTAAAGTTTTTGGTCCATTTCATTCCCAAATATTAAGAGATCATTACCCAAAAAACTATAAGGGATATTCTTTGGGCAGAACCTGTCCTACACGCAAAATGTCTAGGACCAATATTTTGCGGTATTACAAATTTTGGGTCCACACAAAACTATAATATCCTCACAATATAGTTTCGTAGGGTATAATTATATACATCTCGACGCGCTCTGATATACATTTTGAAAATGATCGACGAAAGAAGCCTTAAATTGCCTTTTATTGACGATAAAAGCCTTAAGATAACTGATGCCAACGATAAACGCCTTTATAAGCCTATGCTCTGATATACCATCTGAAAATATCATACAATACATTTATGCCCCGATACATCGCTCAAAAAAATCTGTTCTATCCAGATATACCCTTTAAAAAAATCTATGCTCCCCTGATATAACCTTTAAAAATCTACGATCAGATATACCCTTTAAAACTCTAAGCTCTGACGTATATACGTAAAACATCTACGTTCTGATATACCTTAAAACATTTACAAACTACTTCTAAACCCTTAAAAATTCACTTTCTAATGATATGCCCTTTAAAAATCAACGTTCTGATATAACTTGACATATCCTTTATAAAATCTACGTTTTGATATATCTAACTTCTTCTTATATACCTTTAATTATATATCTCTTAATAAATATACGCACCTCTGATATATCCCTTAAAAAATTATGCACTTCTGATACAACTTTAAACAAAAATTTACCATATAAAATACATACAAAACCACGTTCTGTCATAACAATGAAAAAGCTACGCTCCGACATATCCTTTAAAAAGTATGTGCTCTGAGTAAACCTTTCATAATATTCATAAAAATATCCGCTCTAAGAGACCCTCAAAATATAAATTATGAATAAAAATCCTCGCTCTGAAGAAACCTCAAAAATATTATTTAAAACATCTATATGGTCGTTGAAAGAATATTTTTGGTTCAAAAAATCTTTGGTCCTTGAAAAAGTAGTTAAAAAAAAAATATTCACATAACCTTTGGTAAAAGTATATTTTTCTAAACAATCCACATTCTGGCACAAACCCTCGAAAATTCACACTCACCCAAAGTACCTTCCATAGATCGTAAATGAAGGGAATACTCTGAGATTTGTTCTATGAATACGATTATGGATACGTCGTCATGCAACCGATTTATTCGATTATTCCTCCCTTGACTCATTTTATTATTTCAAACAATCAATTTAAATTTTAACGGATTTAGAAAATCCAGCACTTCCTTTTCTACTACTGTCCTATCACAACCACTAAAAAACTTGTTCAATAAGAGTGAAATACAAATTCTCTTACACAGCCGATTTCGTTTATCACACACACACCCTAACATTTTGTTCGTATTATTTTCATTTCCTTATTCCTGCATTTCCAACTCTCAACACAGTAAAGTAGGTCAGGGACGTTGTGCTCAATTTTCGCGATAAACAAACACACAAAATGAAGGCAAAAGAACAGGGGATAAACATTTGGTCTCACACTAGCAGATGTTGTAAAAGCTTTCTGTCTCTCTCTGTAGGAAACCAAATTTTCTTCTCTCTCTCTGGAAAAGGACAAAAAGGCTTAACAACCCAACCCCTTGTCGAAAACGGCCGGCTAGGAAATTCCGCAAAAAGCTTTTTATGGTTTGTTTTGGTTATTTTATTGTTTTTTTTCTTCTTCGTTTCTCTTTTTCATTATAAAAAAATATAGTTAATATATTGCCGTTTTGTTTTTCATTATTAAATAATTTTAATTAAACATTAAAAAAATATATATAAATACAAAAAAATACATTTATTTATAGCTTAGAGATTATTTTTTTGCTCCATGTTAATAGAGTTGAAAGAAAAACAGGAGTGAAAAATTCTTGAAATTTGTTAGCTAAACAAAATATTAGTAAAATATAGAAAGGAAAACGAGCACCGTTTTTTGGGAAACATCATATTAATAAAAATTAAAATATAATATTCGGTTTTTCTTCTTCATCTTCTTTTGTAAGGCACATTTGTTCCTTGTAGGTATTATTGCATTTAAGAAAACACACACACTGAAACACATATATCAATAAATATAAAATTTGGCAAATTTGTATCTCAACAAAATAAATAATCAAATTCCGGAAAAAATCAACGTTTCATTTTCTCCAAAATCGGCACAACCATATCGAATTTTGGCCGCTTTCCAGGATCTTCATTCATACAGATATTTATCAGTTTGGACATGTGTGGTGATGTGCCGGGTGGTATTTTGACACGCAATCCTTCGAGGGCAATTTTCATGCCACATTCCATGGGTGACCATTCGGCGAACGGTATTTCCCGGGTGGTCAACTCCCATAGGAGTACAGCAAAGCTCCACATATCGCTAGCTTCCCAATTACGATCGGCAGGTTTCTTTTGCAAAGCCTCTGGTGACATCCAGGCCGGTTGATAAATACGTCCACGTTCTTGGAACGAGAATTTCGCATCACCCATATTAATGCGAGCCGTTAAATCTTCATCGATCTGAAACAAGCACAAAATTATTAACTTCAAAAAAAAACTTTAAAAATCTCCAGTTGTTAAAAAAAGATGTACGGGACTTCTGGACACACTTTTTTCTTCGGTCCCTAGTGGGACCTTAAAAATTTTTTCATTAAAAAGTCCAAGCCTTAGTGGGACCTTAAAAAAATTGTTCATTAAAAAGTCCAAGCCCTAGTGGGGCCTTAAAAAATTTTTCATTAAAAAGTCCAAGCCCTAGTGGGGCCTTAAAAAATTTTTCATTAAAAAGTCCAAGCCTTAGTGGGACCTTAAACAAATTTTCATTAAAAAGTCCAAGCCTTAGTGGGACCTTAAAAAATGTTTCATTAAGAAGTCCAAGCCTTAGTGGGACCTTAAAAAATGTTTCATTAAAAAGTCCAAGCCTTAGTGGGACCTTAAAAAAATTTTCATTAAGAAGTCCAAGCTTTAGTGGGACCTTGAAAACAATCTTCTTTACAAAATCCACGCCTTGGTGGGACCTTCAAAAACATTTTTTAAAAAATCCACGCCTTGGTGGGACCTTCAAAAACATTTTTTAAAAAATCCACGCCTTGGTGGGACCTTCAAAAACATTTTTTAAAAAATCCACGCCTTGGTGGGACCTTCAAAAACATTTTTTAAAAAATCCACGCCTTGGTGGGACCTTCAAAAACATTTTTTAAAAAATCCACGCCTTGATGGGACCTTCAAAAACATTTTTTAAAAAATCCACGCCTTGGTGGGACCTTCAAAAACATTTTTTAAAAAGTCCACGCATTGGTGGGACCTTCAAAAACATTTTTTAAAAAATCCACGCCTTGGTGGGACCTTCAAAAACATTTTTTAAAAAATCCACGCCTTGGTGGGACCTTCAAAAACATTTTTTAAAAAATCCACGCCTTGGTGGGACCTTCAAAAACATTTTTTAAAAAATCCAGTCCTTGATTTTTTTTAATCCACGATTTAGGACCTTGAAAAAATTAATAAATTCCAAAAAAAACTAAATTCTTTAAAAAATCCACGTCTGAAGAACTTTCAAATAATATTTTCTTCAAAAAAAAAAAAAAATCATGATATACCGACAGACGACCACTTCGAGACTTCTATAAACAGAAAACCATTTTCGAGAGCTTCTATGGAGAACAGATGCTGTAAGATGACTTCTATAGACAGAGAATCCCTTCAGAGAACTTCTATAGACAAAATACACCTTCAGAGGTATTTTTTAGATAAAAGATCCCTTCAGAAGATTTTTTAGAGAGGACCCTTGCAGAGGACTTCTATAGACAGAAGACCCATTCATAGATATTCTGTAAACAGAAGGCAAATGACTTCTACAGACAGAAAACTTGTTCAGATATAAAAAGCAGACCCCTTTAGATGACTTCTATGGGCAGAAGAGACCTTCGGAAAGCTTCTATAGACAGAAAACGTCTTCAGACATCT